ATCTCCTTCTGCCTTATCCCCCTCTGTCGAATTCATTCTTCTCAGAAGGCAAAAACTGAGGTTGCTATAGACCCATACAGATTTGCCACAATGCCAGATGCAATTGATTACCAGAAGAGCTCAGTCTGCTAGCTAATCCCAGATGTCAGTAGAGTCCAGAGTATGGTGAAAAACACTTGTTTTGTTTTTCACATAAGATACTGATCCACAAAGTGTGGACACTGAACTGGCAGCATCAGCATCACCAGGGAACTTGTTAAAAATGTAAATCTCGGGCGCTATTCCAAACCCACTGAATCTGAAATTCTGCGGATGGTGCCTTGCTCTCTCTTAGTTCAAGCCCTCCAGGTCATTCTGATGTACTCGAAAGCTAGAGACTAATAAAAAAGGTAACCTTGCAGGCCCTGTAGAATCCATCAGTGTAGATGGACTCCCCAAAGTGCCTGCCTTACTCGAGTTTCTCTTCCTTTAGTCCTGGCTCTACCTTGTAGTATACCTGTTCTACCTTGTAGTATACCTGCACTACCTGAGCCTCATTAGCTGTTCCTATTCACTGGAACTTGGGGCTTGTCTCAGTCTTGATAGGCTTCACAGTAATTTCTTCAGGGAAGAGCACCTGTCTTTCTTGCCGTTATTTATTACTTCTGCTAGCAGTGATTCAATGCCTGATTGTACGAATAGTTCTGTTCCCAGTAGTAATTAAGATGAGAGGACTGAGATCCACATTCTGCCACATGTGCTATAAGTGGGGTGGCCATATTGGGACAATTCTGGTTTCCACCCTTTCTTCAGCATAATTAATACTCCCTTTTACTATTCTAGGTGCTCTATTTAGTTGGCAAATTATGTTACAGTGAACCTAAATCATAAGCAATCCTAACACTGTTGGAAACTGGCCTAAGAAGGCGTCACTAAGAAGGAAATGTTTTGGGCATAAAAATGAAAGCTGTCTTTTTACAATAGGTAGGCAAGACAGAACTGGAGATTGGGATGGGACAAACTTAGAGGCTAGGAGATCTTGGTGGCTGGAAGTTCCAGACAAAGATGGGAAGCAGTAGGTTCCACTATGGGAAGCCCAATTAATAGTTTGAAGGGGCTAGTGTCTGGTGGAAGTAGTAATAGATAAAGCTGATGGGAGAGGGGTGATGTGAGGTAAAGTCTTCCAGAAGGGGCAAGGGAAAATTTTCCTATTGTTGCCCCAATAACATATCACTTTAGGTTCTTGGAGTAGTTCTTAGGAAGAAACCTACTATTTGTTTCCCTGTACAAACAGTTCCCTGTACAAACACAAGTTCTATGTATGGGAAATGTTTATTGCTCTAATTTCCATCAATTCTTGGCTATATTTCAATGTAATGTAGCAGAATAATAATTTACCTTCACCTTTGTTTGAAATATTCAAATTCAGTTTAAAAAATACCAGCCCGATGATTCAGATTCCATAATATCCTGTGCCTTTATCACATAGCAGAACACTAATGTGGGACAATTGAGATTTGTGGCCTGTCGAGAACAGAATAGAGGAAAATATCCAGATACCTAACTGATGTGTTGTGATATTGTTTTTCTGAATATTAATATGGTAAATGAATTTTGCAGTTATAAAATGATCATATGGAAATTTTTTTCTGTCACCATTTACCGTACTAAAAATTATATGTTCCATGTAGTTTTTGGAAATTGTTTACAAAGCACATGTTGCATGGCAAGGCTAATTTAAAGCATAAAGAAAAATTATTAAATGATGATTAAAAAGTTAATTTGATTTTACAAAATTAATGATGTTTCCTTTTTTTGTTGTTGAACAGCAAAGATGCGTTTGGCGTTGCTAAAGCTTCAAAGGCTTTGCCCTGGACATTGCTTGTAAAGGGATCCCTTGTTATGATATCATTACCTTCACCATATAGATGACTTGTCAATATCCTTCTTTCTTTCCATATGTACAAAATAGATAACATGTTCTTTTTCTTTTTTAACCAGGACTAATCTTCTGTTCTCTCTACAGTCTAATGAATTTCAAGAAAATAACCTTCATTATTCAATTAATTGTTACTTTTTCTAACTATTAATATAGATTACATTTCAGAGTTAATAGCTGCCTGTAAAGGAAAAGAACAATTAATAATTTCCTACATTATCCTTTGTTTAAATACCACATAAATAATGTATTTATTAATGCATTTGCTTAGTTAAATATTATGTTTTGAATAAAAGTAGTAATTAATATTGTGTTTTAATTTTAAAAGTAGTCTGTAATAACTACAACTATCTGAAGGATACGGTTAGCGTGGCAACCTTTATGAAGCTATATATGAGGAGATAATAATATTTCAGTATGCCACAGATTATCTGATTCTTATTTTACTGATATACAAAAAAAACCATATATTTAAATTTCATTTCGTATCTGTATCTGTAGAGTTAGCATACACAGTTATTTCATAAATAATGTGTTTTTTATTTATAAATGTAACTTATTTATAATTCTGTTTCCTTAATTTTCTAACCCAAGAATTAATGTTTATTTGTTCTGGGAGATAAGAAAGGCACAGAATGTTAGGCGACAAACTAAGAAAGTGATGTGAAACTTTTTGTAGAAATAGCTGAGTGATCTCCAAGTCCTAGTCTTAAAATTTTGTCACTTGCTTTTGAAAAAAACAAAAAGTCTTTATAATCATAGGCTTACCTTTACTCATCGTTGTTTACTAATTGAAATTTAGACATATTTAAATGCAAGCAGTGGCATTTATTTATGAATGAACGAGTGAATGAATGAATGAATGAATGACAGGGTCTCACTCTGTCGCCAAGGCTGGCGTGCAGTGGTGCAGTCTCGGCTCACTGCAACCTCCGCCTTCTGGGTTCAAGCAATTCTCCTGCCTCGAACTCCCTAGTAGCTGGGATTACAGGCACCCACGACTGCACCTGGCTAATTTTTGTATTTTTAGTAGAGACTGGCTTTCACCATGTTGGCCACTCTGGTCTCAAACTACAGACCTCAGGTGATCCACCTGCCTTGGCCTCCCAAAGTACTGGGATTACAGGCGTGAGCCACCACACCCGGCCGGCTATGGTTTATTATAAATCCTTAAAATAGGGGTATTTCTTTTTTATTTAAGAAATGGTCTTTTGGGTTAGAAGACAATTTGTAACATTCATTAAATAAACAGTAAATAATGGGCTTTTTAGCCACCAGAGAGCATTTAGCATTTTTATTTTTTTTTTGTTTTTATCTTTCCCTTTTATTTTAGGTTCACATACAGATTACACATGCATGGTACACGTGTGGGATACATGTGCAGGTTTGCTATGTGGGTAAATACATAGGGCTCGGTGGACAGATTATTTCATCACTCTAGTAATAAGTGCAGTACCGAAGGGGCAGTGTTTTGATCTCCCCTCTCCCAACCTCCTCCCTCAAGTAGCTCCTTATCTCCATTGTTCCTTTTTTTGTGTCCACGTGTACTCAATGTTTAGCTCCCACTTGTAAGTGAGAACATGGTGATGTTTGGTTTTCTGTTCCTGTTAGTTTGCTTCATATTATGGCTTCCAGCTCCAGCCAGGTTACTGCAGAGGACATGATCTCATTCTTTTTTGTGGCTGCATAGTATTCCATGGTGTGTGTGTGTACCGCATTTTCTTTATCCAGTCTACCATTGATGAGCATTTAGGTTAATTCCATGTCTTTGCTATTGTGAATACTGTTAACAATGAACATATACATGCATGTGTCTATGGTAGAATGATTTCTATTCTTTTGGGTATGTACACAATGATGGGATTGCTGGGTAAAATGGTAATTCTGTTTTAAGTTCTTTGAGAAATCAGCATACTGCTTTCCACAGAAGCTGAACTAGTTTATATTCCCACCAGTAGTGTATGAGCCTTTCCTTTTCTCTGCAACCTTGCCAGCATCTGTTATTCTTTGGCTTTTTAATAATAGCCATTCTGACTGGTGTGAGATCGTATCTCATTGTGGTTTTGATTTGCATTTCTCTAATGATTAGGGATATTGAGCCTTTTTTCGCATGCTTGTTGGCTGTGTATATGTCTTCTTGACATTTTTAAAGTTTTATGTTTCTGTCTGCAGCTCAGAACTTACTAATCATTTTTATAACCATTTTTAGTACTTTTAAATTCTTGAACTTTAAACAAACATGAAACCTCAAACAGGAAGAGACAATAATTAGAGAACAACTTGAAAAACCTGGCAACTATATAGATGGCTTCAGCATGTGTTTGTCATCCTTTAATTTGGTTTTTATTTGAATATCCATATCAGATAAGGCTTAGCATTAGTACTGTTACTGTTCAATCTCCATTTAAAAAGTGGCCTGTTGTCTCTGTCTGTATATTTATGACATTAAAATTGGGCCTAACTTTTGTTTTCTTTACCCTCACAATATGTTTCGGGGATAGCATTATGTAATAATTCTTGAGGTACAGTTGAAAGAGTTCTGTGACTCTGTGTGCAATAATTCTAACCTTGTAAACCTAACCTGAAAGTAATGTCACAAATCTGAACTTGTTGGAATAAATAATATTTATTCCATGATTATTATTAAATCTAATTGAGCAAATTAATGCTTAACCTATGTTTATCAGTAATTTAATGTTAAATATAAGAAATGCATGTTTGTCAATATGAATATGCCTGTTTGTGCATATGCATCAGAGACAGGAGCTGTTTTAAAGTACTAACAGTGGGAATCAACTCAACTCATATTTGTAATATAGCTTTAAATTTGTTCATCTTATATCTTGCTGAATAGTCTTTAGATGATTTCTTTTTAAGAAAAAAATGTTTAAGTTAGCAAATAGAAACCTTGAAATGTCCCATAATTAAGCAAAAGGCATATAAATAATCTCTAAATAATGAGTGTATTACTAAATTTTAGCTTCAAATCACCTTTGCCACTGTACTTATTTTTCTTTAATAACAGCTTTATTGTTTCATGGGATTTTCTGAGTTGAAGCTCACTGATTTTTATACTTTTCAGGTCAGTTTCTTCTGGAAGAAGCTCGTCTCATAGAAGCAGCTGAGATGGCAAAAAAAGCAGCTGAACTAGACAGCACAGAGTTTGATGTTGTCTTCAATGCTGCCCACATGCTCAGGTTAGTTCTTGCTACTGTGCCTCAAAGCCTTGACTTTGAGAAGGTAATTAATTATACGAATTTTAATGTCATACCACCTTATTCCATATTCTTAATGTGAATCATGCTGCTTAACTATGTAAAAAAATTAGAAATGTTGTATTCATTATAGGCTATTCAACCTTATGCAGCCCGTGGCCCTTGGGCCACATGTGACCCAGGACAGCTTTGAATGCATTCCAACGCAAATTCGTAAACTTTCTGAAAACATTATTATAAGGCTTTTTGCTTTTTCTTTCTTTTTTTTTTTAAGCTCATCAGCTATTATTAGTGTTACTGTATTTTATGTGTGGCCCCAAGACAATTCTTTTTCTATTGTGGCCCAGAGAAGCCAAAAGATTGAACTCCCCTGGTCTATGTGCACCATGTGTAGGGCATATGAGGTTTTAGGACTTTCTGAAAATTACTGCGACCTCCTTCCCCTTCCCTCTAAAAATGACTACTCATAAAATACAAAAAGAAAACTGCAAAATTGAATATAATACATGTCTAATTAAATGTCTCCAAAGCAAAACATTATGTCAGTAAACTGCATCTCAATATTTGTGTTTTTATGTTAATTATATTGACTGTGGTATGTGGATACATTTTAATGTTTAATAGTGGAGAGGAATTTCAAATACAAGTATCCTTAAGGCCCATGAAATTCTCAAAATAGCCCTGGAATCAACACTATTGCTTTGTCGTGAAACAATACATTTTTTTAACTTTTAATGCCTCTGTTTTCAGAAGACTATTACAAAGGCTAATTACAATGAGAGCAAAAATACTAAAATATAAGGCCAGATTATCAAATAATAAATAAAATAATAATAAAAATTATTAAATAATAAAATAAATAATAATTATTATTATTTTTTTGTGTGTGAATATAAAGAAAATCTGTGCATCCATAAATGGTTCTTTAGATTGTAGGAGGATGTTTTTAACTGCTTTTAATCAAATGATTTATATAGTTGTTTAGAAAGCATCATTTGTCATGTCATATATATATATATATACACACACACACACACACACACATATATGTGTGCATATAACTCCTCCCATATTCTTACTTGAATACTAGTTCGTTAAATCCCCACCTAAATGCTTCATTAAATGACTTCTATACTGTGGTCTCTGCGCTTGGCTTCCAGGAATAGATTTGTAATTACATAGATAACTCTTACAAATAATAACAGAAAAGTTGATTCACAATTGGATGGTTTTAAAATGAGGACATTTGTAAAAAGTAGAAGGATTTTTTTTTAGCTTTTAAGATGATTGTAGATTCACCTGTAGTTGTAAAAAAATAATACAGAGATATTTTAGTTGAATGCCCTCATTCAACATTAATGTTAGCATCCCTAAGGTACTTGTTTTGTGATGAACTCAAGAAAGCTGACACCTACAAAGGGAAATCAGGATTCAATTGACTGTTGGTATATTCATAAAATAAACTGTAACCAATCTGCAAGAACCTTCAATGCAAAGATAATTTTTAAAAGACACCTCAATTTGTGTGACAAGTTTAGGTATTGTTACAGAGATAAGGACTTTTGGTTCCTCATGAATAAAACACTATGCTTTCAGCAACAATAAACAATTTGCAAGAATGGGAAAGCAGTAATACACGCAGGCAAATTCGTCTTGATAATAACAGATACTTTTATCAACAAGGCATTTTGCTACATATTAAATCCATGTCTGAAATTCAAGGTCTACCAACAGAAACCCATTATAAGTATATTACAAAAGAAAAAAAAGTCCTTATTAAAGACATCACTTATGATTTTTTTCTTAGTTGTCTTAGTGCTAGAAACCAGTGGAAAATTTTTGTTATATATTGGCAGTGAGGAAATCTTTAGGATTTATTTTCAGAACATCCTCTCCAGCTTTCTCTGGTCTGCATCCCTCATTAAGTTGCAGTCAGTCGGTGCCCTCCTATATTGACTGTAAGAGTGACCACAGCAGCTTGACTTTCTCCTACTCAACTGGATGGCAGTCTTCTTGAATGTTTTTACTTAGCTTTTCTGTTTTTCACCTCTGTCAAATTCAAGCATTTCTGGAGTGCTTGCTGTCAAGCTGAATAGCAGTCTCTTTTCTTAATAGTTGAGAACATTCAGGGTTTTGTTTGCCTAAAGGAATAAGAAGGGTTACTGGTTTCCCCTTGAATATACTTTTGTCAAAATGGCTAGTTGTCAAAATTTTGCTTATTTAATGTTACATGTAAATTTTCTCCTGGGGGTGATGCTACATAGTTCTAAATTAAGTTTGATATTCTTTTCTCAAGAACTCTGTTCTTTTGAGAGACATTTAGGAGACAAAATTGACAGGGTTTGGTGACCATTTGGGTGTGAGAGAAAGAGTGGGTGTCTCCTGGTTGTGTCTCACTTTGTTAGCTGGATAAGTGGTTTACCCACTATCCCAAATCAGCAATTTAGGGAAAAGTTATAGTTCAAGATAAGGTTTGAACATACTGATTTAACTTCCCTTTTCTTGGCAAATCTCCAATGTAATGACCAAAAGAATCTATAAACATGGGGAGGGGGAGCAGGAGCTGCTCATTACAAATGTAGCAAAAAGAAAAAATAATGGTCGTTCCATCTGAATAAGATGAGATTGGAAGAAGTGAGATCCTCAGGCCAGCCATCAAGGGGCAAATCTTTATCTTATTGGGACCTTCAAGAGGCCTGAAATTTGAGAAATTTCCAGTATACCCATTCCAGCTACCAGAAGTGAACAAAGATCTTTCTCTGTAGAATAAGCTAATATATAGTTTTGAAATGTATTACTCAATTTGGCAGTTCAGATAAGAATGACAAGTCAGAGGTATCAAAATAAAGGGCCTCAGTGAAGCAGGTTTACATTAAAAACTTAAGAGCCTCTTAGAGGGTCTCTAAATTCCTGTCATCAAAGTGCTTCGAAATAACACTCTGTGGTGGAAGTAGTATTAATGTCATTCAGCAAGTTTGCTTGGCCCTTTGTTTTATTTATTTATTTATTTATTTAATGATTTTATTATTATTATGATTATTATTATTATTATTATTATTACTATTATTATACTTTAAGTTCTAGGGTACAATAGCAAAGACTTGAAACCAACCCAAATGTCCATCAATGATAGACTGGATTAAGAGAATGTGGCACATATACACCATGGAATACTATGCAGCCATAAAAAAGGATGAGTTCATGTCCTTTGTAGGGACGTGGATGAAGCTGGAATCCATCATTCTCAGCAAACTATTGCAAGGCCCTTTGTTCTAGAGAATCACAGTAGTATTGCACTTTCCTGCCTTCCTTGAAGCTGAAGTCCTGCATGCCTCTTATTTGTCATTGAATGTGTGTGAATGTAATGTATGGCACATTTGAGCCAAAGCTCTAAGACTGAGTGCTTTTCCCTTTCTCTGACTTAAAAATGTAGATCCCTAAGTGACCAAAGAGAGACAAACCTCCCTCCTCACCTGCGTTGGATAGGTTCAATGAGTGAGAAGTAAACTTTGTTGTCTTAATTCAGTGAGACTTAGAAGGTGTTTATTCCCAAAGTATAACCTAACTTAGCTGATACAAAATATATTTGTGCAAAGAAATAGGTAAGTACAAAGAGGAACACTATAATGTTGGGAAAAGATTACTAAGAGATTAATAGGGTCTCTGAATGTATAACAGCAATGGAGGTAGTATACAATTAATAGACTAATAATTTAAATAGAAGCTATAGATATTTCCCCAGAAATTGGTGGAAAATACTAAAAACATGAAAATGGTGAATGAACAAAAGATTGGAGGATGGATTAGGAACTCACATGCATAATTATAAGTAATTACACTTGTAATTATATATATGTATAGTTCTACATACTATATATGCTCATAATTATACATGTGTATATAATTATAGTCATTTATATACATATATTGTATACATAATATGTTATTTTTATTTATGTATAAATATGCACATATATCTATATACTGTATATGTGTGCATGTAGTTTTATATATCATATATGCTATATATAATTTTATTTGTTTGTGTATATGGAAATGTTAATAAGAACAGAAATTTCTGAAACAGAGCATGGAGTAGAGATTATCAAGAGAGAGAGAAAATTTCCAAAATAGGATGATCTTCATTCATCATAATGAAGGCAAAATCAATGAAAATAGGTTTGTTTTTAAACTGTTGTCATGTAGAGACCAGCTTTTAGTTGTGTACTAAAGAATCATACTTGCTAGTTTGTACAGCAACAAGATTTTTTAACGAGTGTTCTATAACCTACAGACTCTACCAGTGGGGTTGGGAGCTCTACTGTACACAGCTAAGAATAATTCCCAACCACCCAGAATTCCCTTGGGCTCAGCAGCTTTTACAGTGCGGGAGCTGTGCCACCATCACCCACAAGGAACCCAGCAAAGTGTGCATCACATTTATTAGAAGATGATTCTCCTGGGCCTAGCTGCTTCCCATTATGCTTACCTCTGAATTCCATTCTCTTGAGATTGCATCTGATGGGTAGAAACTGAGTCCTGTGCTAAACGAAAGTTAGAAGATGACTGAATTTCTGGCTTCTGCCTTGCTTGGGAATGTGGGATCCTTGTTCTGACTGATTACCAAGTGTATTCATAGGGGAGGTGATCACAAATGTTGAGTGGCCTCACATAAAGAATGTTGACAATACATGGTGACATTTTTAGTACTTCAAACAAAATGAAAAGTTACTAGATGCTTCCAGATGACAGCATTAAAAAGCAGATTGGTTATCATTAAAGGAAAATAAAGGAATTTACGATGCTAGAACACAGTAGAGTTATATCTATAGTGTTATGAGAAGAAACTTATTAAATCAGTTATTCTATTAGAAACATTTTCTGTGAATGGATTTATTCAACTTTTCTGAAGAACTGGAAACTGAAGATAACATGAAGATATTTGTTATTTGAGAGGAAATATAGAGGCACTAATAACAAAC